CCTCCACTGAGCGCAGGGAGCGGAGGTTGGAAGCGGCCCTGTGCGACGGGCCTGTCCTCTCCGAGTCTCCGAGCGCCCCACTGCCAACGGTCTTTAGGCACTGAGGGAAAAAAAGCCCAAACGACAAAAAAGGTGGCGTTCTCTGTTCTGGCGCTCGGGAGGAGGTAAAATTTGCCGGCTTCTTGCCGCCTGCAGATCAGCTGGAGGAGGCTGGGGGTAACTCCACCGGCAGCAGTCTGGTCACCCTCATTTCAGCTCTGGGTAGCATTTGAAATATTAGAAAACTTCATACGAATTTTTGAAATGGAAAAATTCCAAAAAATTGAAAAACTTCATACGAATTTTGAAGTTGAAAAGTTGCGTGCTTTGCTTGCAGCTGAACTGCTTCTGTAGGAACGCAGCCCGTCAGGCAGTAACGTGTATTTTCTCTTTTCTTTACAATAGAGTTACATTCTAGACACCTCGTTTTAGCGGTTTAGGTAAGCCTCTTATTCAGCCATCTGCAAAGTGTGTGCCTGTAGTTAAGTTGAAAATTGCCAGCTACAGCCAGCAAACTGGAAAACATCAACATGAAATAGCCAACAGCAACCTGAAATTAGACACGGTTATGAATCAACATTATTATTCATGACTTGAACGGGATTTGTTTGCATTTCTCTTTTAAAAGTAAGAGCTCAGGAGTGTTTTGATGAATTGGTGTGTACATGTTGTAAGTGCAAAACGTTAGACTCTTTACAAGCAGGTTACCTCAGAGGAAAGTTTGATTAAACTCATACAAATTGATGTACCCTAATTAACATTACTGTATATAGTGCTGCTGACATCTGCCAGGAGAGGGCTCTATAACCATAGTGATGGTATAAAAAACACCCTGCTCTTTACCGTTGTTTTTGTTCCCTAAAAAAGTAGTTTTAAAAGCCTTTCTGAATTCTTCAGTTCCTTACAAAGAAAGAACTTGCTTGTGGGCTTTAAATGCAGACCAAAGAAGAGCCACAGAATTAAAGACAAAGTTCAGTGGCATGGTTAATTGAATCTATTGGCAAGTGTTCCTCTGCTGGTGTGACTGTGGGTCACTGACTCTGCAAAGGCCTGTGGTATTCATCCTTGGATCTTCCTGGAAATTGATAATCAAATACTGAGAATGCCCTGGAGAAGGTAGAGGCAGGCTCTAGCCCTCTCAGGAAATCAAGTTCAGAGTGGAAGAAGTGGGGTTTTTTTGCTTTTACAAGCATTTTGAAGCCCTGACTAGGGTATGGATTTTCACATTTGCTTTCTCAGCTAGAGGTTTAGTGGAAAATGCAGCACAGCATAGCATCATGGTGGCACTGCAGCCTTTTAACGAAGCCCAACAACTCTTTCAAAGATGTTCCTCTCAGATTTGCTTGCTGCTTTTTCAGCCTTCCTCACCATTTATTCTCAGCCCATTCAGTTGGGCTGCTGCATCAGACTTTGAGGCTGGTGTTCTAAAGCAAATTAAGTTTTGTGGTATGGTTTGTTGGTTTTGGTTTTATTTTTTTTATTATTCAGATTATGTCATTGATTCATTTAAGAATTTGTCCCTGACAGTGGTTGTGTCAGGTTAATGGTGAGGAGAATAAACAGTAGGAACGGGAAAGAAGAGTAAGTAGCAGGAGGAGACACATCTTAACCAAGCTTCCTCCTCAGGTAAACAGTAAGGCAAACCCAAACCCTCAGGTCACCACAGGCTCTGTGATATTGTTGTCATCTTTTAGTGCCTTTGGAGG